TATATTTACATTGTTATGTATCCAATCTCCAGAACTTTTTGCAAAACTGAAATTATTTACCTATTAAACAACAACTCTGCATTTCCCCCTCCCCCAAGTCAGGGATAGCCACCATTCTATTTTCAGTTTCTATCCATTTGACTACTCTGACACCTGATGTAAGTGGACTCAATACAGTGTCTTTTGTGACTGGATTGTTTCACGTAGCATGCAAAGTTCATGCATGCTGTAGTATGTATCAGAATGTCCTTCTGTTTTAAGGATGAGTAATATTCCATTGTATGTACATACTACATTTTGTTTATCCATTCATTCATCAATGGATACATGAGTTGCTTCCACCTTTTCACTATTGGGAATAACGCCACTATGAACATGGGTGTACAGATATCTCTTCGAGACCTTGTTTTCCATTCTGTTGACTATTTACCCAGAAGATGAATTACTGATAATTCTATTTTTAATTTTTCAAGGAACCTCTATGTATTTTGCATAGTAACTGCACCACTTGACATCCCCACCCACAGTGCCCAGGCCTTCTGATTCCTTCACATCCCCACCCCCACTTAAAATTTTATGTTTTTTAAAAATAGTAGCCACCCTCATTGACATGAGGTAGTATCTTTTTGTGGTTTTGATTTGCACTTCCCTAATGATTAGTGAAGTTGAGCATCTTTTTATATGGTTGTTGGTGCAAAATGATTTTAAGTACTATATTCTTTATCTGAGAAGATGAAAATTTTTTTCTCACACAGTGCTATTAAGAGAAATTCTAGTAAACTGTGATAAGGTACAATGTTATTAAACACTACTCAAAATTCAAGATATTGAAATATCAATATCCTGCTATAGTTTCCCTGTTAGTCAAGAACATACTTTAAAGAAAAAACTCTAATATTTGCTAATCTTTCATCTCCTGTTTTAACTCTTAGATTAAATTTTCTTATCTCAAAAATCCTCTTGAACAGCTGTAAGCTTCTATTTTTCAAAGGTTTTATTACAAGTCACCAGAAAAATGCATATCCTCCCTCTCTCAGGAGATTGAAACAAGAGATAAACGTGGGGTCCTAAGGAGAAAAATGATGTTTTCCAGAAGCTTCAGTAAACGGTTTCTCTTATCAAAGTCTCTGGTTTCTGTAATGTTATACTTAGATTTATTTATTTAACAGTAAATAATACCTACTGTGTGTTAGGTACTGGCCACCCAAAGATAAAATGGTACATTTTCTGCCCTAAAGACACCACAGTCTAATTGTGAGAGCAGACGAGAAAGTCAGCAAGTTTTGACACAGAACAACATGTGTTGACATTGAAAGCAATTTGCTCAAGGCCTCATGGGAGAACACAGGGAATTAATCAGGCAAAGCTGGGAATTTAGCATGGGAGGGGTCTAGAGATGGGGTGGGGGAATGAAGTGGATATAAGGACACCTTAGAGTATTTTAAGGTATCAAAGACATAACTGAAGTCTTCCTGTAAGTATTTTCAAGTTCATCCTCAGTTCCCCTTGTCTTTCCACTTTTAATTGATAATTTTGATCTGTCTAGTTCAATAAGTCTCTTGAGTGAATAGATAGAAAAATTATAAATACCTTACTTGGTTATGATTGAATTTTACACAAGTACAAACAAGTGGTGATGCTTTATCTGGTGTCATAACCGTGATCTTACAAGGTCATTCTCTATTTAATTTATTTTGCCCTAAATTTGTATTTAATTTTTACACCAATAGAGGAAATTTATAGTTCATAAAATAGTTTCATGTTATGCTAAAAGTTTTAAGATGTTCCTTTATTCATTTTTACCTCACTACCAAGGTACTGATTTCTAAGGGTCTTATATTGTTATATTTATGCAACTTGGAAAAATCAATTAAAAGACTTGATCTAGAGAGGGAGAAGTCTTCTTGATATTTGCATTCATGGCTTGATTGTTTTAAATTATTGATGAAGGTGAAGATGCTCTTTCAGGTATTTGTGCTGGAGAAAGCCTCTGGGTGAAGTGTGTTTTTCAGATACTGATGGGTTTGAATGTAATTAATATCAAATAATTTCAGATTCAACATTGTCTGATGAGATCACTAAACATAGTTCTGTCTTTCTACATCTGAGGACACCAAGATGCACAGTACTCAAGTAATTTGACCAAGCAGATACAATTAGTGTAGCAAATTGTAATACAACGAGATACTCTAAGAAGTCTTCACTTAGCCTAAGTGGATTAGTTATAAGAACTAATAGAAGTATTGTGCCCTCTCTATGCAACTTGTTGAAAGTTGATGATCTTTAAAAAAAATACCTATTAAGCACTTGCATAATGCTACTTTCATTTCCGGCATACGTAGTTTGCTTGATAGTATACTAAATAAATTAAACAGAAGAGGTCACTCATCTAGACTTTTCTTTGAATTGAAGGACTTAAGTAAATTGAAATCCAGGCAGTGAGATAGAAGGAAACACATACAGAGGCAAAAACTGAGACAGAGCTAACAAAAAAATAAAACAAGTTGCTCCATTTTGAATCATCCCTTTGAGTACCACCTCTCTCTCCTGTCTTCACACTTCTGTTTATACAGGCAGCTATGTTCTGGGCCCTCTGCTTTCATATTGTTGTGGATGTTGGTCCCTCTCTTAGCACACCGAGTTCTTTGGGAAATGGAAGAAAAGCCAGTCATTGGGGCCCTTCAGTTATGCTCTCAACCTTATGTTGGGATATATCCCACCTGATAGGCCATTCGGTCATCAGACCTTTTTATCCTCTCTTCCTTAAACATTCCTATTGCAAGGCTTATCAAGTATTTTTTAAATGCTGTTCTTTAGGTGATGTCACAAATATTTGAATTTCCAGAGACAGTTGTGCTTTTCTGCATCATGCATTGCAATCTGACAATCTGGGCTCAACAAATGCTTTAATTGAAATTTCTTTTAAATGGCTGTGGACTCATTTTAATTAACAAAGGGAGCTAATGTGCTGAGTATTGACATGTGCTGGGTGGTGGCGTCCCTTACATACATTCTTTCATTTAATCCTAGCATTACCTCTACAAAGTAAATACTGTTGTTACTCCCACAGGGTCTCACAATTACAGTAACAGGCATAGAGCCAAAGTCAAATCTGGGACATTTTACCTCTAGAGACTCTAGTGTTATCACTGTGCTAAGTAACTTGTCCCCTAACACTTAGAGCACAGAATTTTCCCTAGGGTAAAAAACTCACTGAAAGTTGAGTTTAATGGAACTCAATTCATGTACTAGCAGCCCATATTCAATGCTCACTGTTAACAGTCAGAAATTAGGAGATAATCTTTGCCACAGTAGAGGAATAAATACAACCCTAAGACATTAAATTGCAAATTATTTTTTTGCCATGGAAGATATAATCAGATCATTAATCTTATGTATTTTATATGCTACATAAACATATCCAACTTTGTTAAGTTTTTAACCTCTGTGATATTCAGGAAGCATTAAAATGGAAAATGTAATAATATCATTAATAACCCATTCACCATAATGTGGTGAACTGAGTGAAATATGGTGAGTTAATTTTTATTTGGAAAAACCTCATGTTACTCTGTTTTGACTCAAGGGTGTTAACATTTTTAGTGTTAATGTTAATTTGTTTTGTCTTGCTCATACAATTATTACCTTCATTTTCCTTAGTGAAATGGAAAAATGTCCCATTTGCCAAATGCTAATGATGTGTTCTCAGGTCTTAAAATGTACATCTCATTAGGTTTCTGTTTTTTAGCTGGTTAAAGTTTATGAAGTCAGTATTTGTTTCTCTTTGGGGAATTTTGCTTGTGTATTTTAAAGATACATTTACCATTTCCCTCAGGTGGCTTGCCAATAGTGATCCTTCATTATCATAGCAATAAAAAATTTTTACTTTGTAGTCTTATGCAGATTTAGTGTGTTCTTCCAAAAACATTAACAGAGTACCTGTTGCATGTTTTTTCAAAAAATATTTTTTGTTCTTCATCTTTGAAAGACTGTGTTTATCCAGAGAAAGTCCATTATGACTCAATATGAGTTTTGCTGTACACTTTTTAAAAGTTTTGACTTGAACTTTGTTGTTGAGTATCCTCAAGAAGTAGTTTCATTGGTCTGATTGTTTTAATATTTAAGCAAATAAAAATAGCTCTTTGTGACACCAACAGTAGTGTTTCTAAGAAGACATGAACCTGAGCTTCATTCCCCTTTATGTAATCCAACCCCATCCTTTCTATTCACACACAACATTAAATTAAAATGTTAGGAAGATACTTAGATTCTCTTAGATTCTTCTCTAGCTGGCTAACTCTCCCATGGCAAAATATCATAAAGCAGCAACTTTGATATAGTTATTTTTGTTCTGATATATTCAGAAAACTGATAATAATAGAGAGCTTAGATTTGAATTTTTCATACTTTACAGTAGTTTTTAAATACATTTTCTTTTAAGTAATGTTCTGACTTCACAACTCTTATTGGTAGGTATTAATCCATTTTAAAAAGGACATAAAAAATCTGGGGAAGTGAGTTATAAGTCCAAATTCACCTCGTTAGCAGAGTCACAAATTAAACCTGGGAGTTTTGATCACAAGCCCTGTTAATAGTCCCACCACACATCCCATAATGAAATGCCATGAAATGAAAAAAAATGGAGTAGGTACCTTTAAAGTAACTTAAATTACAAGGTGTAATGTGAAAGACATATTCATGTGAAAGACTTATCATATTTTAAAAATATATAATATTATATATTGCATATAATATATATTCATTATATAATTATTTTCAATATATTATATACTCTTTCAGTATTTTATATATATAATGTATACACATACAAAGAATATATATGTCTTAGATTTTCAAATGTTCCTACTTAAGGAGTTTTTTTTTTTAGTGTGACAAGGACAGATAACCTAAAGGAATTTTTCAAATTGGTCATCTACAAATGATAGAGAGACAAATTGAGGTGGTTGTTTCAACATATGAATCTTCAACTTTATTCACAGCTGCAAACATTTTTTGAAACATTCCTGACAGCCAGTTCACCTCTTCAGGCTTTTGATAATATGAAGGAAGCAATTAGCAAGCTCCTGCTAGCTGCTGAAGTGTTCAGTGAAACATCTACTCTGGGACCAAAGGCTTTTGAAAGGTAAAAACATTTTAATATTTAAAAAAAACACCCTACCTTCTGAAAATTGATTGTTAGTGAAAATATATCTAAATTACATAGTAGATGAAATTAGAAAGTCAGTATACAATGTCAGTACACAAATATGAACTTCTAAACATGTTTCTGTATTTATAAAACCTAAAATTTCACAGCTTGTTATAGACTCATTAGTATCTAAATAATGGTGGCAAGATATAAAGCAGATGTCATTAAATTAATTGCATCCTCTTTTCAAACTCAGCTATTTCTATCATACAGGCTTTGCATTGACTAGGTATAATTGTAATTGTATTTATGGACTTTTATTAAAAAAATCCAACAACTCTTGTTTTCGTAACTCAAGTTAACTGAATATAATTTAATGACTTTTTTCCTGGGGAACTTCTAAATTTGGTATGTCAAAAAAAGGGAGTGACTCAATTAAGTTTTATTATGCTTTATATGTGAAAAAGACTCCCTGGCACATAAGAGTAGGAGAGTTTCCTTCGCCATATTTGGGTTACATGGAGTAACCCCCATTGTCTAGTTTAACATGTTGTGAATTATGTTATGAAGTATGTATTTGTAATTTCTGTAAAAAACAAAACAGATTTCAAATCCCAAAATAAAATGCATGTAATTTTAGATTATTCAAGCCACTGCTCTTTTTAATTAGCACAGACATTGACATTTAATTATAGTAACTGTTAGTACTGTATTACCAGGTAGTCGAATAATGTAGCAAGTAGAATCTATTTTAATGTTGCCTTGTGTCTTTATTGCAGATGCAGGTTGTGTTTTCAACTTTTAACTTTTGACATCGGCTATGGAGGTTTCGGGTACCCTATAGTGCTCCAGGTGAGTGTGCCAAGGCCTCGTGTAAGCCTCTACCTTTTGCTGAAGGGTGTGCACGCGCATGTGTGTGTGTGTGTGTGTCTGCGGTTTTCATTTACAATAACCAATCAACAAAAAGCAACTTGCCTCAGAGTCACTATAGGCATGTATTTACCATGCTTCAGAGAATTAATTAGTATGGGGGTAGAGTTCTAGTCCCTATTATGCATCCCTGTAAGACAAGCTTGGATTTTTCTATGGTTCAGTCACTGTTGATGAAATAAATGCGACATAAAGCTGAGTATTTATTAATGCAGAAAAGCAGACATTTAAATACTAGAAAATAGCACATTTCCCAGCTTATTCACATGGGTTTATAAAAAAAGATAACTCTTACTCTTTACATATATATTTTGTTTAAAATGGACCTATATTTTAATTTTAAAAAAACCATAGGAATTTTTGAAACACATGTTTTTTTCTAAAGTATAAATATGTATAAATTGAGGAGTGTTTTTTGTACACTGATTCTTTTACTTCCTCTCAAACTCATTCAGATCATCTCCTCTGATATATTCATCATCTTAATTGTCCTTAGTGGCAAGAAGATTAAAACACAGTTGATTGCATTAGTCAATAGGAAGCTTTATTTTGGAATATGGGGTGGAATGAGGAGAAGAGGAACACAATAAAATTATGTGCAACAAGAATTCAACTTTATATTGAGTGTTGACTGGTTTTCAAACTATTATACAAGGAGAATGATTGCATTATATGTGGCTCAGACATTTGGCTGAATAGCTCAAAGATTTATCCATAAAATTTTGAAACTTTATGAATACAAAACATTGTTTTATACACATCTAATAGTTTATGTTATGCTTTTTAAAATGTATTGCTCAGAATTTTATACATTATCTTTCATGAGTACAAATTCTTCAACAATAAAGAATTTCAAGATAAACTAATGTGACTTTATAACCCATTAGTTAATTTTCTTATAAACAATCTTATCTTCAAAAGAACATTGCTTACATCTTAAAAACTGTTGACCTCCAAAAGACCACTAGATGTCAGTTCTGATCTATAATCCAACAGAAAACTAATCTTGTCTTAAGAGATGATTCTACTGTATTAAAAGTAAATCAATAAAAATTATTTGCTGTGCTTCTACTCTTTCACAGGTTCATGAGCACTTGAATTTTCAAGATGATGATAATATGGATTTTGAGGACCAAAATACAAAAGAATTCCTTTTAAAAGACACTTTCAGTTTTCTCTTCTCTAATGAATCTTCATTTTCCATGTTTTCTGAGATAGTTCAGGAACTTCATAGATCAGGTGTGTTCAAGGTAAGTTCATATATTTGTGCTGATAATTTTTTTTCAACTCATTCTTTAGAAGGTGACAATATTATTCAGTTAAGCAACTTGATAATTCATTTGAAACTAATTGGTATCTGTTATATTATTCCTCAATATTTTTCTCACTTGAGGACCAATATTATTTTCATGTCCATTAACTATGTGAGTGACTGATTATGATGAAATTTCAGTTTGAAAATGAAATAAATATTTCCTAATTCCTAAGGCATGTTTGTGGATATTATAAATAAATAATGCATGTTATTTGTTATAGAATACATTAAAAGGAATTCTAGAACTTTTTGGAGGCTATCTAGAATAGCAGTGAGTGTTCTAGATTGACATCAAGGGACTTGGGTCATAATACTAATTTTTTAAAGCATTCCTGCCTGGTTACCATCTTTGCTTAGATGTCAATGATTAGTAGCATTGGTTCAGAGCAGCATTGGTTAATTTTTCTGGCATGTTAATACAAGTTTTCTTGATGCATCACCAAATTTGTATAGATTACTCAGCACAGTATTGTTCTCTGTATCTTTTCATTTTAAAGCCCATGTTCAGAAAATTTGGAGGAGTGGAATATGGAGGAAAGTTCTCACAAACAAACACTGATGCCCTATGGAGAGATGTTTGTGAGAGATACATAACATAACTTTTTAGATTCTTATTTCCCTGTGATTTTATTGACTTGTTCCTCAAGTTCCCTGTTCTTTTTCGTGAGTGGGTTGTCATTAAAACCATTAGAATCATTCAACCCAGAAAGAATGGTAATATGTTCTCAGGGATGAATTGGAAAAAAATGGATGTGGGAAATAATGGGGGGTGTCTGTTCACTAGAATCCACGAAACTCTAATATTGTAATGGCCCATAGATGAGGTTCACATATAAATTTGCTGCTCTGCTCTCTAGTAACTAGCAGGCTATTAGAGACGCCTCCTGCATTCCCAGACTCTCACACAGTCTGCCTGCCTGGGTTCATCTCCCCAGCCTTACTACCACAGCACTACTGAGATACTTCATTCAGGTCCTCTTTGTCAAATATGAAATTTTCTTATATTCAGACACCATTGTGACAAGTTGACATTGCTGTGTCTTAGCATTAATGAGCTCAATTGTTTATTTATAGAGTTCCAAATTAGATTGGTTTATGAATTGGAAGGCAGTTGGGCTAATCATGGCTTGACTTTATAACAGTTGCTTACAAACTCTTTTTCTCCCCCATTGTAGGGTGAAAACTATAAAAAGGAACTAAACCAATGCCTGTCTTTAGAGGAAATTAACTCAATTATGACTTTCATAAAGGAACTTCAGAGTTTGGGACAATTCCAACTGGTAAAACAAAAGTGACATTTGATTCCTCTTGATTACTGAGATTATAGTAGATTAGCCATAAACTGCTTGATTTTGACTTCAAACTAGGTGAAGACATTTCTTTAAGAATAGACATTTTTGTAAACTGCTTTCCTCTTTTCAGAGATTTAAATATGAAGATGAGCAGAATCCATATTCTTTAAGAGTTTGCAAGTAATAAGTGACTTCTTAAAGGTAAAAGAATATGGGATTAGTATAGCTACCAGGATTTGAGAGTTCCTAAAAAGAAAATGTCCACATTTTCCTAAAGAAGTCTTGCATTTAGCTGTGGAACATTTACATATAACAAAATTTTCTTCCTGCCTAGTGGGGCCTTTTTATGTGTGTAAAATAAAATATTATTGCTTATAACAATATTTTAGAAAACCATCTAAATCTTAATTTGTGTAGATCTAGAGCAAACTTCAAAGAAAGAAAATGTAAATAATTATAATAACTTACTGATTTTGCACTAAGAAATAAATGGCATTTGTTTTTTTATATGTATTTTTCAGGTTTTGTTTATTTGTCTTGTCAATATTAAGGGGTAACTTATTAGATGTGCATGTGTACAATATTTGCTTGTTTCTAGTTCTGCTACTTACATAAATAAACTATAATAGATTTGTATTTTTATACCTAAGATTTGTTTATACAAACCATGTTTTTAAAAGTCTAATGATAATTTACTATTAATCTTTTTGGATCAAACGTTTGTTTTTTACTTTTAAAAAACTATGTATTTACATACTACTTGTATGAGTTACAACCAGTTTACTAAGTTAAGTAATGCATGCTTGACACTTGGTTTTATAATTTAGCCCCAAATTTAGAGGGTTCAAAGTAAGCTTATTGCCCCAAGATAATTTAATTTATGAATGATTTTAATCAACTTAAATATAGGAAGTATTACATTCATGACAGTTTGGCTCAATTCTGCACAAAGATAATAAAAGAGAGAGAGGCCTCCTCCTTTAGGAATTCATAATTCAAGATGTTGTGAAGATAGAGAACACCTCTTGGCACAATGTGAGGAAGAACTGAAGAACTGTTTTGCAGGAGAAAGGGCAAACCCCAATTTCCTGACTCTCGGAGTAGAAAGAAGTTAACCATACATTTTCTTTTTGGTTGGATTAATATCTCTTACCCTGACATAACTGACTTGTAACCCAAGAGGATTTCTGCTCATTCTTCCTGCCGTCTGATTCACTTTGTAATTCAGTTGTTTCCAGGTATCTATACCTAGGAGAAATTCATTTCCATTTAATGAGAAGGGAAAGAAAATTTACCCCATTTGGAAGTATAGAATCATCAACAAAATTAGTTCCTTATAAAAAGTGGCATTTACCTTGACCATTGCACAGAAAATTCAATTATGGTGCTGACCATTTTCTTTAAAAAAGGTATCTTTAGTAAATATCTTATTTTTAAAATATACGAATAAATATGAAACCTTTACTAGTAATGATATACTTTATTTTGCATAACTTATTCTGATACTCAGTTTGTGAATATTCCTTCTCAGCTCTTCCCATCTACTACTCCTGGGATTCAATCTTTGATGCATGAGTTTTATGATGTGGCAAATACTATGGGAAAACCTGTTTCAGCCCTCACCCAATACAGATCTCTTTTAAGTGTATTTGAACAATTTCAGCTCCTAAATAAGAAGGTACAGCTCCAGCCACTGAAATGGTAAGATAGCCACAAATTTGAATTGTACAATCCAAAAAAATATCTCAAAAGCTTTGCATGCATTAAGGAAAGCAACAAAAAGAAGTATGTCCAAAAGTCTGTGCTCTGGAAAATAAGCTTCTTTAAAGCACTGAAACCATAATGATTCTAGTGGTCTTCGAACTGTAGAAAAAATATATCCAAAAGTTTTTCAAACCAATAGGACAACTCTACTAAAAAGTAATGTTTAAAATGAAAAGTTCCAATGTTGTTTCATTCTATGATACATATCCTTGAATTAGAGGAGCTTCAGATGGAAAGAATGAAGGGAGATTGGTTTTATGAACCATCAGTCAGAGTGGAACCTGAGGATATGAGCCTTTGTTCATAGAGATTATGAGATGTTACTTTATTCTGGGCAAAACCTATACAAATTTATAAATACATCTCTGCCACAAGATGAGAAATTGTTTTTAAAGAAGGTAGAGTCTCAAGAGGGAAACATTTGTTTGGGAGAAAATGTTCTTGGCCTCCCATCTTCACGTCCATTCTGACAAGTAGTAATAGAGAATGAGAGGGAAGATGGACCAGTTTGGTAGATACTTGTGTCTTCAATTTCTGTAGTTGGTGAAAAGGGGCAGTCAGTGCCCAGGGTGCAAACTCAGTGAGCTTCTCTTTTAATGATGGAATTAAGAGAGTATTTGACTTTTTTACTGCCAGGCAAACAGAAGTAAACCTGAACCTCCTAGGGAGATGAAAGGCTAACAGCCATGCCATAATTACTTACATCTTTTACAGTCACTCTCAGGAATGGCTTCAGGTCTATTGACTTGTACTTCATTTCTTTCTGCCTCAGGAGATAATGAAAACAGTTCTGTAAGAAATTTCTCCTTAGAATTCAAAACTACAAATAAGCACATATTTGAGGAATTCTTAGGAAACCTCCCAGGATCAAAATTCACTTTAATTGCCACAACTTTATGGACTTGGCTGTATTTCCTCAATGATCAGAAATAGAAAGCCTGACAGAAGGTTTTGTTTGAAAATTAGATTTTACATAATATAGCTCAATCCCCCTTTGCTTGTTTTTTGCACTCTCAAATAATCCAAGACTCACATTCATCATCACTGATGGGGGAACAGCAGAGTTAATTTACCAAGGGGACTATTTAACTACTGATTTTAACCTTGACTAAATACCCTTAAGATAGGCAAGCTTTGGAAAGTTTGTCCCCCAAAAGCTTTACTCAGGTTCTGCATATGTTGTAAGGGTAAGCAATTGACTTATCTTAAATTCAGCATACAGAATTTAACACTAACTCAAACTGATTACCTTCCAATAAAAGAGTTTACTAGTGGTCAGTGTTGAGTATGATTAGAAAGGGACTCATTTTGAATCTGACAGGACTTTCTTGAATCAGACAGACATGAATTCAAGAATCCGAACTTTAGAGTTTATTATTTTAAAGTTTTGAGAGACTCAGTTCCCACATCTGTAAAATCTGGATTATATTACCTACCATGTGTTATTTCAGAAGGATTACATAAAATAACTTCAGATACCACCTGGTGTCTGGTATCCTGCAGTGCAGGTAGGTAGAAATATTAGTATGCTTCCCTTTTCATGCTTTTATACCATCCAAAAGTCACTTATGCATTGACAGTGGGGAAAATATGTTTCATTTCTTTTATGGGAAAAGCAGAACAAATTTGAAACATTTATCTAAGTTAATACTGAGACAAGTGAGCCTTAGATCTTTACCAAGAAGCAGGTAACTCACTCTTAGAACATTTCAAGAAACAGTACTCAGTTCTAATGATCTTCAAATACACCTGTGAGCATATGTATATTTAATTATCATCCCTGTTGTATTACAAGGAGGATGTATATTATGCACATTTCCCAGAGGAGAAAACTGAGGTGCTGAGGTGTCTCATTTGTTCAAGTGACACACATAATAGGAATAAAGGTGAGACTGGGACTCTGGCCTTCTCATCCATGGTCCCAGCTTTATTGCAGTGTATCTTGCAGATAGGAAATCACATGTGGTCATTCATCACTGTGCTTATCTTCAAAACGGTGAGCTTGTTTATCTACAGGGAAAACCAATTTTTTATACTGGTACTACCTGTGTGATTTAATGCCTTCATCCTTTCTTTGAAGCAAAGATCATCTGCTGAGAGCAAGAAGGTGAGGAGAAGTAAGGTCATAAGAGCGACAGTTTAGAAAAGGTGACAGCTATGCCTGTGCCCCGAGGCTTAGAATTCAGAGGTTCCAACAGAATTAGTGTGAATCTAAACAGAATGAAAATCTTAAAGTCAGTGTTTGTGCACTATCTGCTAATTTTCACTTTACCAGAAATAAAGCTGCAAGTGTACTTCGCTGTAATCACATGGCTTCCATGAAAATCTACATTTTCAAAACAAATAATTTATTCACAGAATTACCCAAGAAATCACTGCGGATGCCTTAACATGTAAAGCATCTCATTCTGTTACAGATAGTGACCTTTCCAAATTGAGTTTATGTGTATTTCAGGGTCGTATCTTTCATGAGCTTCACTCAGAATTTTTGCTTCATATGAATCTAGAGGGTTTTTAAAAATGTGGCCTGGCATCCAGTCAGAAGATTTCAGCTACATATTATCTCACCCCATGCTTGCTTTATCTGTTTCTTCATTCCTTAGGAGGAGTGAACTATTTTAAAGAAAGTCCTAAACATCATAATTTTTTCAACCTTAATTATGTATGTATCAAATGAAAAAAAAGACGTAAAACTGCAATAAAATTATCACACCTTCCAATATTAGCATTATCTTGTAGTCCTTGATTCTTAATTTCCTATCTGATGTTTATATTTTGAAGGAACTGAATATGCCTTATTCATCTCTTCTCTACCACAGCGCTAAGCACAATATCTAGGATAATAAATATTTATAAAACTTAATTTAACACAAAGCATTTGATTCTCACAGCATCCCTGTGAAATAAGCCAGTATTACTCTCTCCATGTTGCTGGAGTAGAAACGGAGATCCACAACACTGCACGGGAATGTCAGGTCACATCCTGCCCAGTGTTCTCTATCATCAGGACCACCAATTTTTTTGTCTGCAATTTAGATCATTTTAGTCCCAGATCTGAGGACTTAAAGGGCAATCTGGCCAAGTATTTAGTTATACAACAAAGAAATGAGGCAACGCAGCAAAACATAAGTAACTTTTACCATTCACTACAGTTAATCAACATTTAAGGATGGAATCTGTGGCAAGTCATAGATTGCTTTCTGCATGGTACACTTATATTTCTTAGATTATATGTATGTTCTTTCGGTCTGTTCCTCAGAGTTTCCAAGGCTTCTTGCTTCAAGACTATGTAACTTTAGCCAAACCGATTCCGGTAAGAGAGCATGTTCATGAATCACTTCTGTTGGAGCCACGCTATCAGAGGATACTCCCTTTCCAAATGCAGAGTGACTTTTTACCCTGGTTTTCTTCAAATGTGTTTCTGCCGATTAGTGATGATGAGATTTCCACCCACGTCACTTGATGCAAGATTGCCAGTTCTTGAGGAATGAAATCCAGAAAGTGTTTCTTTGTGTTCATCCCAATAAATGTGCCCACACAGGGGGGGAAAAAAATAGTGCCTTAGGCGTAATTTCCATGAATTTTGTTCATTTCATTGATCCAGAGTCGTTTCGCATTGCATTTTCAGGAATTCTTTCGTAGAGGATGAGAACATTGAAAAGCCCCAAGTGCCATTTGATGCCATTAAAAATAAAAAAGGTAAAAACATATATCCCCATTTATTTCAACCTGAATGTAAGTATTGTGTGGCCAAACATTTAAAATGACTGGCTTCATTAGCAATCAATAATGAAGATGAAAATGGGAAATATTTTCCTTCAAATTTGGAAATATTTTTTGCCTCTTAAAAATAATAGAGTTGGGGAAATATAAAGAAATAAGTATTGTCATGTATAAATTAGAATAACCTGTTTAAAGAGGCCAGTTAACAACACATAAGAAAAGATTTAAAAATTATTCTTGCACACCAGAAATTTCACTTTTAGTTATTCATTTTAGGGAAATAATTAAGAATGTACACAAAAATTTAATTACATGTTATTAATAAAATATTAGAAACTACCACTGTTGCAATGCTAGTGAACTGTATAAATAAGCTATGTTCATCCAATAAAATACTAGAAAGTCATCCTAATGCTACAGTAGAATACCTGTGGCATGAAAGATGTTTATCATATATCATTAAATGAAACAATTGGCTATAAGCAATGCAGACCTCAACATTAATGCTGATTTTTATTTTCTCTCCTAGACTTATGTCTATTTTCTGATAAAACTGAGTGTTTTATCATAAAAAAGATGTTTCTAACTTTAAGGAGAAAAAAAATGAAGTACCGTATGCCTATAATTTTTTTTAATGAGGTTTAATCCAATACAGTGCTTCTCAGTGTGTGGCCCCTAGATCAGCAACCTCAGCAACACTAGGAAATTTGGAAAATTCAGATCTTCTGAACCAGAATCTCTGGGTATGAGGCCCAGAAATCTGTATTTTCAGAAGCCCTTAGATGATTCTGAGACCTGCTAAAGTTTGAGAAGCATTGAGTCACTGAAATGAATCACCAGGCCCAGTGAAGGGCTGATGATAAACTTCAATTCGGATCGTCTTTCTCTCTCCCACCATTTTTTCTCTTTAAATGAATGATATAAGCACTCTGAGTGTTTTAAGTCATTCATTTATTCCATCAATATTTGTAGGGGAGTGTTTTAGATAGATGTTTGGTTGAATTCAGAAACTTTGAGTAGGTATCAGTGGAACCAACTGGATGGAATTTCTGTAATTCTAATGATCTGGGAAATTACAGGATCATAGAACTGAAAGGAATCTTGATCACCTTCAGGCAATGGATGGATGGCACTTAGATAATTTATTTTTCTCCCTTGATATTTTACAATTTGAAACAATCATTCTTCTGAGATCTGAACCAAATAGCTTCTTTTCACTGTAGCTTTCAGTTTAACTTAGATGTGCTTTCTGATAAATGTTAAATAATATAATATGTGTTTTATTGCATTATACTCTTTGAGACTACTGAATAGACATTCTTTTTTATTTTGATTAATAATTTTCATTTTAAATTTACATTTTTCAGCTGCAGTTCCACAAAGTATAAATGAAACCGAAGAAGTGCATTGCAGTGATGGTGAGTTCCAATTAAAGTGTTTCAGCAGCATAATCAATGGGCAGAGCCCTGCTTTGAATAAATCATCATTTTATCATATTTGGGTATCTTTAGACTGCTAAAGTATTTTAAGTAAGTTTTCAGAAGTTATGAGATTTCTGAATGAGTCACTATCTGTCACTTTCACATGAGAAAAACATTTTTAATTTTTGAACATGAAATATTTGTAAGTGTGTTTGTTTAAGGACAAAGACTTCCAGATTTATTTTGAGGGCTCCTGAAGGTGCTAAGGTTTACCTTGGACTCTGCTCAAGTGGAAAAGCTTGGTTCATCTGCTTCACACATTGATTTTTAGCACTCTTACCACCCCAACGTAATTCTTCTTCTGCCAGATTGTTGATATAATGGATAGGACTTGAGTTGAATTTTCTTTATAACAGTTGAGAGTTTTAAAGCCAATTCTTGATATGTTTTCTCAAAATTCATGGTTTTTCTTGCCAAAATATAATCATGAAAAAATATATACATTACAGTAAAACACAGCAAGTATTATATAGATTTTTAAATTTTTAAATAATTTTCTTCACTGTGGTCAGTATCATTCCAGTGTTCTTCCAAGTATATCATTCTAAAAAATTTAACTAATTTTTTTCCAAGACTAAGGGGTTATTAAATACCTGAACTGGATCATAAAGCTGGGTCTTCTGATTCTTTGTTAAAAACTCATGAGGTATCTTAATATCCTATGATAATATGATGAAAAAACAGGAGTTTTGCTTAGAAGGTTTGTTTTTTAACAATGTGTGTGTTTTAAAATGTACAAATAATTAGTGCTAAAACTTGCAGTTAGAAAATTTAGCCTTTCACAAAAATCTATTCCAGTAAAACATTGAAGCTCAAAAAAATGACACTTATGGACTAAAGTCTAATTTATTATGAATAAAATCTTCTAATTTAATAAAATCTAATTTGTAACTTCTAAAATGCAATTTAAGTCATTCATTATGCTTTAACATCATCATTAAAATAAGGACAGACTGAGAGGTTTTATAAACCACTTATAAACTATATAATAATGTGGTTTAATAGAATCAACAAATGCATCCAAATAAATAAAAATAGCATTTTAAATAAAATATTGCCACTCAGGAAAAGGTAACATATTACTTATGCCATTTCTTCCCTATATCTCTTATGCCAATCTCCCACTCCTAGAAATATACATGCTACTCAATTCTCCTGGGACACTGGTGCATAGATTGTAGTGGGAAAAGGTCTAGGGAGAAAATTGGGAGCAAGATTAGAATGAACATTTGCTGAGAGTCAGCTCTGTGCCAGGCAAGTTCTGGGTTAGATGCGACATCAAGGAAGCCACTTTACCTCTTTGGTCTTCTATTTTCTCATCTGTAAAATGAAATGACTTGTGGGATAATCTCTCTCTTTTTTTTTTTCAGTTTCCAGATAACATAGTGTAGCGGATATGAACATGTTAGATAAGCTCTGCAACTTTGTTCATATCTTTATGTTTGATAAAACTGGTCCTACCTGAGTCTTCATAATTAATTTTCCTGCTTTTATGGTATGATATAAGATTACAAAGAATGACTTGATAATGCCACAGAACAGGTGGGATTATCTTTGAGAATCTAGGCTGTTCTTGTATTTAATATGAATTATGATTACCCCTCAAGAGGGCAATAAAGTCTGCAGTTAAAAGAAATATATTAAAGACAACTAAAACTTCGAACAGCTTTCCCATATGTACTTGCCAAATAGGTTAAGCAGCCTGCTGCCACCATACCTCACCCTAGGTTCTCTGTAGAGCTAAGGTACGTTGGCCAGAGACAAGTTAGGACTGGGCTGGGAAGGATGCCAAGGAAGCCAGGTGTTTGTAGGCAGCAACACTGATGATTCAGTTGAAGATGATGTCAGGGCTAAATCAGCTTTCAAACAGGGGTCTAAGATGCAGCACTTAAGCCACAGGTGGAGAGTTTCTGATGAAACCAAAAACAAGCCATTGCCAAAATCTCACTTAAGAGTGTGATTACACATTTCATCTCAGAGAGGGCTGAGTTTCAGTGCTGTAATGGGCAACCCCATCAAAAACTTTCACTACTAAGTAAAACTGTAAACTGCGGGGAAATTAACTCTCAGTGACTGTTTTTAAAAATGTATCATGATAGGTTAAAGTACATCTTCTGTGGTTATTATTTTTGAAGAAGTTAATACTTTGTTATTCATTGAGCTGATTCTGAGCATAAAAGTTCAGTGCAAGTATTTATATTACGTTTCTGCCTAGGAAATGGCCCTCTTGAAAGCAAATTCTGTATCTCTGGGCTCCAGATTGTTTAAGGTGTTATGTTGGGTTCATTGTCTCCAATTTAATCAGATCTCATGCCCAACAATAACCCGGTTACTGTGCTTATCTCTGTGCCTTGAATATAGAATATGCTGGAAAAAAATATTTGACAAAATGAATGTATTATTAATAAGTGGTTGAATTTGGATGAAAATCTATGGTCCTTTTCAGAATGAGAAATCTAAGGACACAATCTCATCCTTGTTCTCTGATTTTTCTCCCTTATTATAAAAAATTGCAGGAGCTGGTCAAAATCATAAATGCAGTCTACCTACATCTGTCAGCCAGATAACATGCTGATAACAAGTAAAGCAGGCAGTTTATCCAATTCATGGAGTTTTCAACCAAAATAGCTAGTTGTTTATTTTTTTCATTATGACTTTTCCCAACAATGAAATTCCAATATGGCTCTTGTATTATTGCTGTTCCTAATTTGCACTTGAACAGTTTTTTTCTTCCACTGGCTGAGAAAACCATGGAGTATAGGTTAGAAATACATAGGATTTTTTTCATTTTTATTGTTTAAGTCCGTGATAGGAGTTATACTGAGACCCAGTTCTCACAACTGGAATAAAACATCCCTCAGGTTGGTGGTGTCCATTGCTGTGGATTTGTTGTTGCATCTCCATGTCTATCAAAGGCATATAAAAAAATATGGTATTGCTGAATCACAAAGTCCAGGATGTAATGGGAATACAACTGGAGAGGAAGATGAGGAGAAGATTGTGAAATGCCTTGTCTGCTTTATTAGGAGCTTATACAGGCTTCCAGAGGTCATGAGAAACCATTAAAGAACTGAAGGCAAATTATTGTATTTTATTTTAGAAAAATTGCTGAAATGGCTATATAAAAATAGAAGAGACAACAGATCATAGGATAATCTACTTTCGGTTCAGTTATATAGCTTTTTGCAGCATATTAAGAGTTCTCTTTTTTGTTGCTATGTTGTAAAAAGCATTGAACACTTTATTTAAAGGCAATAGAAAGATGCTTTCATTTTACCTGTTTCTATAGAATTTCCTCTGTTTATTTTACTGGAATTTTGTTGACTATTGGAAAGTATTTATGCAAAAAAATACTAATGTTTCTTGGGAAAACATTTGCTAAATTTCTTTTGAGTAATTTGTTTATTGCAAATATGAACACAATATAATATTGCAGTGGCTATTATATGTGCTTATAAATATTATTATGTTTTCTTTGCCAAGATACTTCTGTAAAAATTGGGCTACCAAATAGAAACACATTTTAAAAATGGCTTAGTATCAGTGGTATGAAGTAATATGCTAGGTTCTATAACAGAATTGAGTATTTCCATCTTATATTTAAGGGTACTTTCTTAGGTGAGGTGGTTGAGGTATTCCTCAGGGGCTCCTCAGGATGCCCCACTGATGTTTTTGTGTCTAAGTGTTTGGTATAATATTGGATTTCACTTCTTCAATCTGCCCTACTGCCTACAAGCTAGTATATCAGTACGGTGGCAGTTTAATGACACTCCCTATTAAGGAATTTTCCTCATTCCTTTCTGTCACCATTTCACAGTCATCACCCCCATTTCCACAGTTGCTTAATATATGCAGTAAATGCAATTATCAATCCATTGGAGAGATGTCACCTTCCATGGCTTTAAAACTTTTAAAGGCTGAGCAAAAAAATATCTGTATAGTACCAACTAAAGTCAAGCTGTAATATGAGGCAAATTCTACAAAATTTAGCAAATAGAAAATCCAGCTGAAGCCACAAATCAACTACCACTAGAGTGCCAAATGGAAAATCAGCAGTGATCATTAAAGTTGTTATAAGGAATTTTAAATTAAACAAACCCTTTATCATATGTAAATATTTAGCCATTTCACAATTGTCTTTTCTTTGTGATTGTTTTTTTGTAACAGATGAAGACATGCAATGTTATATCAAGCAGATCTTTGTATATCCACATTTGGAACTAAATCCTGAATTTAACCCCAAGATCAAAGATTATTACTCTGAAGTCCCATTTGACGTGGTAACAGTGGCAGTTGGAGCAGAGACTTCTAAGTGTCAGTGCAAGGTGTCCCTGTATGAACGGGCAGGGCCAAGGTATGGGGATGCTGACGGGGGCTGAGTGGACACATCATAGTGAGAAGCAGGCTGTTTGAAACAACCTTCGAAGATGGTTCAGAAAAGCAGAGGCTCAAGCCCAGCTGGACAGAATGCCAGAGTGTGAAATCCTCCTGATTTTCAGGGGTCATGTGATTAAAAAGAACACATCAGTGTTCTACTGATGTTAGCCATCTTTGTATCTAATCTTTTTAACAATGTTGCCACAAAAGAGCATTTTATAATATGAAATATTAAAGAGTACTCAATGAGGGAAAATTAATTTATGGCTGTCTTCATGTTCTTAGATTGTTGAAGAGTTCATCCTTCTGCACAGTAGCCTCCTTCTACCCCAGTGTGATTCCTCAAGACTTTTAATTTTCAGGGGTTGATTACTTAATATATCTGTTGGTGACAATTTATGGACATAGTAGCATTAATTCTCAGACTCACAAGATTTTTTCTTAGCCTTTGAGAGTCACCAACTCTTTTATTGGTAATTTTGAACAGAAGATAGAATCTTGTCACATGGCATGTCCCTGGCAAGGAAAATACCCACGTACCAGGCTATCAGGGAAGAGATGCACTGGCATCCGCAGAGCTGGGACCAGAAGAGTCTAGTAGAAAGGAAAGAAGGTTCAAGTCAAACCAACCTGGGTTGCAACCCTGACTCGACTGTATGACTTTGGGTATTTTGTTTCCCAGTTCTCTGTTTAAAATTAGGACAACCATAGTTTTTATGTAGATTTGTGAGTATTAAATGAAATAATGTGTAACCCTGACAGGGTGATTAATAAATATGAGTTCCCTTTCCTGTAATTGATAGGGGACATGACTTGCTCCACAAGATAACTCTTGGCATATCAAGGTACTATGAAATACAAGTTAAAATCTTTTTTTCAGGTTTTTGGTTTCTTATGAACTTGTACAGACCTTATTTGCTTTTTATGCGAATTGTAGGCATTTAATAAATATTGATGGATCACTCCATTTGGGCTGAATAAATGTTTCTCTCTCTCCAGCTTTGCCAACTACCCTCTGGGTTTAGGAATGAACAAAATCTCAATGCTTGTGGTAGATGAGTCTCCAGCACAGGGTGATACCCTGATCACATACAAACTCACTATCTATAGAGAAGACCGTCCGAGTCTGCCTTTGTTTGAGGACTTCACAGCATGTGGTTTTGTGCAGGTAAGTGAATTTTACATTTGCACGTTGGTTGAATTGGGAGCAAGCTGTTAACACATGTGAAAAATGCCAAATGAAAATTATTAGGAAGAATGTATGCTTTCAATTCTTCATGTTCTTAGATTGTTGAAGAGTTCATCCTTCTGCACAGTAGCCTCCTTCTACCCCAGTGTGATTCCTCAAGACTTTTAATTTTCAGGGGTTGATTACTTAATATATCTGTTGGTGACAATTTATGGACATAGTAGCATTAATTCTCAGACTCACAAGATTTTTTCTTAGCCTTTGAGAGTCACCAACTCTTTTATTGGTAATTTTGAACAGAAGATAGAATCTTGTCACATGGCATGTCCCTGGCAAGGAAAATACCCACGTACCAGGCTATCAGGGAAGAGATGCACTGGCATCCGCAGAGCTGGGACCAGAAGAGTCTAGTAGAAAGGAAAGAAGGTTCAAGTCAAACCAACCTGGGTTGCAACCCTGACTCGACTGTATGACTTTGGGTATTTTGTTTCCCAGTTCTCTGTTTAAAATTAGGACAACCATAGTTTTTATGTAGATTTGTGAGTATTAAATGAAATAATGTGTAACCCTGACAGGGTGATTAATAAATATGAGTTCCCTTTCCTGTAATTGATAGGGGACATGACTTGCTCCACAAGATAACTCTTGGCATATCAAGGTACTATGAAATACAAGTTAAAATCTTTTTTTCAGGTTTTTGGTTTCTTATGAACTTGTACAGACCTTATTTGCTTTTTATGCGAATTGTAGGCATTTAATAAATATTGATGGATCACTCCATTTGGGCTGAATAAATGTTTCTCTCTCTCCAGCTTTGCCAACTACCCTCTGGGTTTAGGAATGAACAAAATCTCAATGCTTGTGGTAGATGAGTCTCCAGCACAGGGTGATACCCTGATCACATACAAACTCACTATCTATAGAGAAGACCGTCCGAGTCTGCCTTTGTTTGAGGACTTCACAGCATGTGGTTTTGTGCAGGTAAGTGAATTTTACATTTGCACGTTGGTTGAATTGGGAGCAAGCTGTTAACACATGTGAAAAATGCCAAATGAAAATTATTAGGAAGAATGTATGCTTTCAAGTTCAACTGTGGTCTCCCTTCAAAAGAGAGAGTCCCAGTCAGGTATCTAAGAGACCTCACTGTGAGTGGTGGTTCTTTTTAGTGTGGTGGCTACTCAGTGTTTATTTGTGTTCAGTGAGTTTATTGTGGTTAATATTGGGAAAAAGTCTGAGTCCTCACGCTTAGTTACAAAATGGCCTTTATTTACATTTCCATTTTAAATTGTGCTGTTTCTTGAATTTAACCCTGGACCTACTTTGAAATTTTAAACTAGATTCAGTGGAACTTATTTTAAAGAATGAGAGGAAAATTTATGAAACTGCTTTACACAAGGGATATCAGTAAATGAAATTAAATTTGCTTGGGTAGATATATTTCTCCTTTACTTCTCAAACCTTATTCATTCCTAGAGGCTGTGGTTTCTCTTACAATCAACACGCACCATTCTGTAGTCCTGCTGATTTTGGGGGGTGAACATTACCCAAAGAGAGAGGCTGTCTTTTTTAGTGGTTTATTTCCTCTATTTTATCCTTTTTTTAGGATTCTGTGTATAACCTTCTACATTTCCTTTCTTCATATACCCTCACTGTAGGTGATTCTAGGGCGGCAGTAATTGGTACTAATCCACTTAGGAAGTATAACTGCAAATATGTCATGTCTCAGTGACTGATTAACTCTTGGCAGCATTGAAGCACAGAGGGTTGGTGAAAGAGAAAAATGGCCCAGTAGGTCTCAGAGGGTAGGATGGATACCTCTGAGTATCCATTTTCATAATGTAGTAACCAGTTTTCATAAATGTAGTGGCCAGATATAATATTCTGTCCCCCTCTACCCACCACCCCCACATTCTCACCTATGCCTAAGAGTTTAGTACTATTTTGTAAGGGTACTTGTTGCTGAGATTTTTATTTTTTGAGGAAACCATACCTGTAGTTTATAAATGACCACCAACTCAAAGAAAATTTCATGTTGGTCTAAAGACTGGTCTAAAGCAGGATGGAACCATTATTCTGAAAGATATTAATAGGTGAACTTTAAAAAAAGATAAAGAGTATGTTTCCAAGGTTATGAAGCAAAGGATTAGACAAAATCAAGTAGGTTTCTTAATTGTAGGACTTCTCTGAACCTTTCATATACTAATTTAAAGGGTGGACCCTCACAAGGAAAATATATAATGGGCTGCATTTCCAAACTAACTTGACATCCTTTCAGTGGAATAGCTATTAATATTCTTCTGTGGAACACAGTTGAAGAAACACTGAGCTAGACTATGAACAAGGCTTCAAAATAAGTCCCTCTCAGTCACCCACTTTTCAGTTTGCTTTGTTTGGGTTGCTCTGCCTCAGTCTTTTTCCAAACTAGAAAGCAAATAATAGAGCCACACCAAAAATGTTCGCTGAGGGAAGAAAAACCAGAGGGAGGTATGTTTTTGTCTAAGTATGTGTGTATTTGTGTGTATATAATAATTTCCAAACTAAATATTCTCACCTTCTTTGGTGTGTGACTATCTGTATTTTTTGTTTTTCTTTGTCCTACTCCAATATTTTAGAAAGAAAGCTAACTCTTAGGATAAATCATCTTTGTGGAAAAGATAATAGTATGCATATTTTCCCAGAATATTTATGGTTACCTACAGCAGTTATTTTTCACATTAAAAAGCACCAGAGATTTCATTTTAATGTAGATTTTAATTTGTAAGTCTTTAGGGGTGACTACATTTTTTAGTTGTTCAGGAAATGTGACTATTATATGTAGTAAATATGTAATAAGGGTTATAAGGGAAAATAAAATACCTAAAGGAATGTATTTTTACTTCTAATGTGTCACCAGTTAGGTTCGTACTGTTGCTTTTTTTTTTCCCCTCTGTCTTTTGAAGCATAATTGTGTTACCCACAGTTATTGGCACAGGATTATATTTTTGTTCCACTCTAAACTTAAACATGGTAAGGTGAAATATGAAATGACTCATTCACTCTTCTGTTATATACCAAACCCATTTAATGGGTATTAATAGTTTAATACGATTTTTTTTCAATTTCTAAGTGTTCATAAAAATGTAAAATCCTTATGCTGAATCTTTAACCCTGACATGTGTTTCGGGAATATCTGTTCCTTCCTGGGTGTCATTTGGAGAGACCACTGTACTGTTAATTATAATTATATACATGATAAGTATCTGGAGAGGTATCGGTAGGAATGGGAATGTATTCAGTGGAAGGGAAATTGCAGAGGTGGAGTCTGCAGGAATTTCTCCTTGTCTATGGTTATCATGTCTTTGTGCATGACTACTTACTGACTCAAATACTAAACTAGTTCCAGCCATATCTGACTGACTCTTTTCCAGTTCAGTTTTGCAAACTTGATCTTGAACAACTTGAAGCACACCCTGTCAAAGACTTTTTTAAAAAATGCTGCAAGCTTCCCCTTCCGAAATGACCATGCATTTTCGTGGCCTCCTGCCCCACTATTTGTCAGAATGTGTTTTGTGCTTCTGCTAACCTGGCTTGCTCACTCTTCCCCTGTTCATCCTTCCCAATCATACAACATTGTCTGATGCTGTCCCTCTCACTGGAAACTAAAAGGAGTTTATTTGATGTCACTCCAGAAACTATAACTGGGATTCCAGTGAGGAAATTTAGATACAGATAGTGTAAGATCAAAACTGCCCAAGGATAGATAATGACTGTCATTTATTATATACAAGGCTCTGTCCTAGATGCTTTATAGTCTCTTTAATCCTTACAGCATCCCTGTAGGTTGAAATCTGCTCTTAGACCTGGGGTTTCAGAGGAGAAAACCTAAGGATCAGAAAGGTTAAAGAAATTGCCCAAGGTAACATAGCTAGTGAGGGGCAGGACTTAGAATTGAATCCAAGCATGCCTAATGCCGAAGTCCATGCTATATTATTCTAGTAGAATGGGCTGTCTTGTAGGTAGGCACTTTCTTCTCCCATGAGGTGTTCAAGCATCAGCTGGAAATCCATCTCTCAAGGAACAGATGTGGAATTGGATTGGATGACTTTTTAAGTAACCTTGATGTTAACAAAATCAGAAGTCTTCTCATTGACCTTTGGTATGTTGCAAATTCCCATGATTAAAATACAGTGTTACTGAGGCCACCTTGTGCCAAGGTAGGCTGGCTCGCTCAGTGGGGATGGGCATCTTGGACCTGATGAAGGAGGAGCAGGCCCTAGCCCTGCGCCTTATGCCAGCTCTACTCAGCTCAGGGCTCTACACCTGCAGGGCACCTTGTCCTCTGACTGTGAGCAAACCTACCCTTATGGACTCCCCGCAAGGATTCTGGCTCCTGGAGTTTGCCATTCCCCCCAGGAGCCTGATTCCAGTTGCCTAGTCAGGAACTCTTTAGGCCCAGCTATCATCTATCAAGTAACCCTCTTGAACTCAAAAAGAATAAACTAGAGAAATAGGGGCTGCTGCCCTCCATAAAGTGGTGTTGGCCTGGTCTGCTGGCAGGAGGAACTGCCCGGAGGAAGACAACAGGGAGAAGCGCCCTTCACACAACCCAGGAATCTTAGGTGGGATGAGTGGAGGCAAAAGGTGACCATGAAGACTGGCAGCCAGACCACTGGCTAAGTAACCCCTTGGGCAGTTGGTGCCATCTGATATTTTTCTAGCATTTGCAGCTCCCCATGATTTAAGGGAGAGAAAGGTCTTGAACAGTTATCAGAAGATTATGAAACTGAGGTACAAAAGCACTTACTTCATAAGAGTGGATAACCCAATGGCCAAGAAGCATGTGAAAAGATTCTCAACCCTATCAGGCATCAACAGAACCTCCCACCCACCACAATGCAAAGCATTGAAAGAACTGACAATACCCATACTGGTGTGGATATGGAGCAATTGTTCTTTCGTACACCTCTAGGGGGAGTGTAAAAGGTTTCACCACTTCGGAAAACTTCGGCAGTTATTACTAAAGCTAAACATACATATGGTGTATGACTTGGCAATTCTCCTACTTATACACTCAAGATAAAGGCATACCCATCAAAAGACATAACCAAGGAATCTTTTTTTTTAACTTTCATAAAACTTTATTTTTTAGAGCAGTTTTAGGTTTACAATAAAAGTGAGAGGAAGGTGCAGAGATTTCCTGAATACTCCCTGACTCCACACATGCACAGCCTCCCGTCATCAACTCCATCACCAGAATGGTACAGGTTTTACCAAGGGCAAATTCACCATGACTCATCATAACCACCAAAAGACCATCATTTGCCTTATGGTTGACTCTTGGTGTTGCACATACTGTGGGTTTGGACAAATATTCAATGGAATATATACATAATTATAAAATTATGAAGAGTATTTTCACTGCCCTAAGAATCCTCCGTACTCTGCCTATTCATCTCTTCCACTGCCTACCAAAATCACTGATCTTTTCATTGTCTTCACAGTTTTACCTTTTCTAGAATGTCAGCTGGTTGGAATAATAGAGTCTGTAGCTTTCTCAGATTGGCTTATTTCTCTTAGTCATATGCATTTAAGGTTCCTCCATGTCTTTTCATGGTCTGATGGTTCATTTCTTTTAAGCACAAGAAATCTTCATATCAGTTGTATTTATAATAGCTAACAATTCATTAAGAAAAAAGATAAACAAACTCATTATAATACTGTTGAGATATTTAAAAATAAATGATTGATACACATAAACATGGATGAATCTCCAAAACATTCTGTTGAGAAAAAGAAGCCAGATATAAAAAGACATACTGTGTTTCATGTACATGAAGTTTAAGAACATGTGAAACTAATCTGTGGTGATAAAAATCAGAATAGTGGTTACCTAGAAGGTTTGGGTAACTCTGAGCATGAGGGAACTTTTGGGCAAATGTCCTGTACCTTAATCTGGGTGGTGGTTACATGTACAACCAGTTGATATCTAGATATATAAAAAA